TTATAATAACAAGTAAAAGAAAACAATATATCTATTCTTTACAAGATTTTTCAAAAGTTGCTTATACTGCAAAATTTATTGCTAAAAAAATAATAGAAGTATTAAAGAGAATTAGACCAGAAAAATTTACAGCAACAGTTTCTAATACCAAATTATTAATGATAGTAGCAAAATAATATAGTAATTAGTATAATCAATATATAAATAATGAAAAGAAAAAATCCATAAATTATTTTATTGTAATAAATTCAACGCCTAAGAGATAGAATTTACTACAATAAAATAATTTACAAGTTTTTTCTTCCTGTTACTTATATAATAATTTTGCTAATAGGTTTTAGAACAAAGCTTCAAATTTTTATCTGTATAGACACTATAAAAAATCCAATTAATAATCATTAATTTTGAATTGATATTAAACAACTTAGAAATATTCTTGGCTTTGTAAAATGAGCTATAAAAAATATAGAGTTTTGAATTACCTTATTAGCTAATATATTTGTTAAGCTTGTAAAAATAGCAATTGTAAATCAAAAAATATCTGTTTTATAAAATAACCAATTTTGATGTAATTGCATTACTATATATAATAAGCAATAGAAAAAATTTGACTTTGAATTGTATCTTTTATATTTTTTTATACCCAACTTACTGTGATATTTAGAAATCAATATATATAGTTTATTGTATTTTTTTTTTATTAATTTATTATTTATTTCTTTTATAATAAGTAATTTTTTTAAAGTTGGTATATATAAAAATTATATTTTAAAAAGTGTAAAAATATAAAAACAAATAGATAGAGATGATATAAGTGCTAGCATTTTAAAATCTCAAATGAATTAATACAAAAATCATTAATCTCTTTTTGATAATAAATTTATTCTATCTACTAATATACTTACTAATTGGTAAATATCTATAGAGCTTAAAAAAAAATAATAATTATATAAAAATCTTCACTTTAAAAGTATATTCAGTTTTATTCTACAATACTGTCTGTAAGCAATTCTTCAATATATTAGACTGATATTACAGAAAAAGACAAACTAGATATATTAATTTTCCTTCTTTATTGTAATTTTTATATTTTACTTGAATGTCTTCTTTTAGATTAAGTATTAAATATCTAGAAGTTATAGCCCAAATGCACTTATTTTTAGTCAAGAATACTAAATTAGAACTCAATTATATATATTAAAATCTTTACCAAAAAGACCTATTGTCTATTTTTAATAAAATTACAAGTTTTTTAGAAGATGAGCCTAATCTATTTAGTGAAGAAGAATTATTTAATTTTTGAAAGAGCTTGCAGAGAAAATAAAAAAAAATCTAAAAAAGAATTAGAAAACTTAGTTAATAAAAATTCAACAAATTTAGATATTAAAAACTTTATATCTTTGTCTTCCAACTTAGAGCCCAATGAATTTTCAAGTTTAAATGAGAAGATTATACATAAAAATAAGGATTTCAATATAGATAATCTGATTAGTAATTTAGATTAATAATCATCAAAGTAAAAAAATATATATAGGGAAGCACTTATAGATTTAATAACTAAAAATTAAAAAATTAGATACAATTTATCTTCAGATAAAAAAAAATATCTGCAGAATTAAACAAATAATAATTATGCATTATCAAAGCAACAGTATTATTTTAAATAAACTATACTGTTTTAGTTAGTTATTCGTTATATTAAATTTATTACTACCTAGTAAGTATTTGTCCACAGATCATATCATGACTGGGAATCTTCCATGGGAAGATTCCCGGTCACAAATGATCACACGAAAAATTATAATAAAGGTAGGCATGAACAACGTAAGGCAGGGTATTATTCATGAATTTCCTGTGAGGAGTTGAAAATCACAACAGAGATTCCGATGATCATATGATGCAGACGCCCTTCGGGCTATCTGTATCCTATGTTCATCGAGAATCTCTGTTGTAATTTTTAAGCTCCCAGGAAATTAATAATACTAATTTTGCCTGAAACACTAGCTAGAAAGGCTAAAGAATTACTGCCATTTTTGTCTGTTCATAAATGCTCTTTCTCATAGTACACAATCAATAAAATCTTATTCTTTTTTAAAAAAAAAGAATGACATTATGGTGAAACTATCCAATTGACAATTTTACTTTATGTTTCTAAACAATGATGCATTTGAATTCAAGTTTTCTTCTAAATTACGTAACTCTAACGAATTGGATATTTTAAAAAAAGTTTAATACTCATCATACTAAATTTAAATCTTTACTGCTTATAATAAAGGCACTAATTCACAGAATAAGTACCATGCATTATATTTATATAACATAATAATTTTAATTTGGGATTTGGGGATTATAAAATTTTTAATTTTGCCAGCATGTATAGTTACGGCTATGATGATTTCGAACTAAGGGATGATATAATTCAGTCATAATTATTGATTTACTGTGGCATATGTCACATTATGTCGTGACCTCAAGAAGGTCACATTCTAACTTGTAATAATAACATACCGATATTTATTAATAAGGATAGCTGCGTGATATGCGATGCCGCGCAGGACCAGTATGATCAAGTGTGACATGTAAAATTCAAATATATATATCTTAACGTGCTAAAACCAGAGTAAAGGTTAAAAGGAGGTTTGATTAATGTATGCGCAGTGTAGCTCTGATAATAATGTTATGTGGATTGAATGTACGAGGTTTCTAAATGTATTGAAAATTTATAAGGGCGACTCGATGTGAATTTAATGAGATAAAATCTTATATTTGTAAAAATTTTCTTAAAAACTTATTCTCTATCTCACTAGCATGAAGAATTTAGTTAGTTTACATCATAATTATCATATTTCCACAAGGAATATTCCTGGTGCAGAACTTACTTGCTATTCCGGTGGTAAGATTGTATTGAGTTCATACTTGAATTATCATTATTCTACCATAAGTTACTTAAATTATTCTGTTACAGTACATAGTGATTAAGGTTGATTCATGGACGAAAAAAAATCTTAATTCAAAATCTAAATCAAAAAGGGTGATATTGTTGTATTAGATATACCAAAATTATCGTGATTTCTATTGTAAAAAATTCTGTTACAAACTTATATGAAATTGTTTAGTTTGTATCTTAATTATTAAGGTTTAGCTAATTGTATTGGAATTATCATGATTTCTATGTGATTAAGGCTAAGTTAGTTCGCATAAGAATTCAACAAAATTATAGTAAAAAATTCTTACTTGCTATTCCAACAACATAAAATATTTGAATTCTACCATAAAAATTTCCATCACAGAGAACTCATTATTTTGATAACAACAGTATATATGGGCTGTCATCAATAGAAATCAAGCAGATTAACATTTTAAAAAAAATTAATCCCTTAACTTTTATAATTTATATCTTGGGGTTATCTTGATGAATTAATATTTAAAAGAAAGCTTGAGATATAGACTTTCTTTTGAATATTAATTTATCTAGATAGGCTCAAAATTCATCGAGATATAAGTTGTGAAAGTTAAGAGATTAATTTTTTTTAAATGCAATCTGCTTGATTTCTATTGATGGCAGCCCATATGATTAATTTGCATCACATCAGAATCATCTTGATCTCTGTGTAATTAAGGTGAGTAATATTTAAATCAGCACAATTTCTACTACAAATGATTGTGGTTATAGTTGAGTTAGTTGTTCTATAATTATTGTTGATAAGGATTCCATTATTGAGCACACTTACAATTCTATGAACCACATTATTTGGTTAAGATTGAGTTAGTTTGCATTGGGATTATAATCTAATAAATTCGGTCACAAAAATTACTCTCTAATATAGAACACATAGTTATTAAAATTGGCATAATTTCTACTAGAAAGATCCTACTCGATGTCCTCATAACCATAGTTTGTGTGGTTAAAATTAAGTTAGTTTGCAACCAAATTATTATGATTTTTATATAATTAAGTTGCATTATAACTAAAATTCTATTTTTGAACTTACTCATTATTATAACTACTACAATATACAGCTAAAATTACCAGGATTTTTATGTGTTTGTATTGAAATCATTACAGTTATTGGGATTACTATAAAAAATTCAATAAAACTTGCTATTCTGGCAATTGCAGTAATGTAATTACAAACTTGCTATTCTAATAATACATGGCACGTAGTTAAGTTTGAGTTAGTTTATTTGATAAATGTCAATTTTTAAAATGAGTGTTGCAAAGCAAAACCTGGAATTGATTTTATATTAATTATATAAATCTTTTTGTAGTATTAAATAATCGAGTTTTCAATTTGCACCGCTCAAATCATGAATGACAATTGAATTACAATATTATCATGCATGGGACTATAAAGTATATCAAAATGTCATAGCAATTCAGCAATTACAAATTTGACGGATGATCATGAGCATGTCATAATAGTTACTCTCTATAGTTTTGAGTTTTCTCAAGTTTATTATTTATGCAACCATACATGTGCAAATGATATGTATGTGCAATTACATTACAATAATAATAGTACAAAATTATATATTCTGTAAATTAATAAAATGATTACATTTATATTTACAATCATTCTCACTCTACACCCGATACATATATAATGCGTACATTACTGTATTAATCACAAAAATGTAGTAATAATCTATTTATGAATTATAATCATGAAATATTCCCACCATACGATCATGATGTAATAACTACATACTTTATCATCAAAATTTCTCACAACGTACATATGATATTTTTATAATACCTACTAAAATAGGTAAAAACATGATAATCATAATACCTTCTAAATCAGGAAAAAATATAGCGCACCAAAAAGTTGAACGGAACCATCCCTCCACATTTATGTGATCGTACTGGTATACAAAAAATATATTTATAGCACATAGGAGTTTAGACTTGATGGTTTAATGGGCAACGCCCAGAGTCTATAGACACGGTAGCATCATCTCAGATTAGAAAAAATACAAAAACTTAAGAGTGTAATAATGCCGTGTAATTATCCAATCATGACATCAATGACGGTCTCGAAGTTTGATACTTTTTTTATACGCAGTATTATAAATATAATAAATGCACGATCAACTCATGTAATGCAAATAAAGTTTAATCAACATGTATGCGTTCGTATTTCCAGAATAATATGCTTTATTTGCAATGATGAAAAAAATATATTAATAAAATCTTATAATAAATCTTTGCGAGTTATTTTTTGGTTTCAACCAAATCGAAATTGCTACAGATGCATTGTTTCCTTAAAAGCAATTAAAATTTAGACACTATATTATAAAAATAATTTATTCGCTTGATACGTCACCTTAATTTAGATTAAGAACTATTTGTTGTATGTCATATAAGTCAATAACAAAATTTTCGCCAACAGTATCGGGTACCACTGCAGTATAGTCTTCAACATTTGGAACTCCACCTAAAATTGGGGGATCCCAAAAGGCATCTCTAACAGGAATAGTTACTTGAAATTCATTTTATTCGGAGCATTACAACCGGTTGGTGCATGAGTATTATGATGTATAGTTCCACATTCCCACTATCATTGCAAAAATTATTTTAATCCGGATATCGATTATAAAAATAAACAGTAAATTAATATTACCTCCTTGACATATATTCCATTTCCTGCTAAAGTTATATTTGAGGATAATACACCACCTGGTTGTGCTCAACGTACCCATAATCTTGCTTAATATAGAAAAAAATCATAAAGTTGAAACTAATCAAATAATGAATAGATGTTAAACATACAGGACATACTATTATTGGCTGATGAACAATTCTTTTGATATTTATTTTAGGATAAATTTTAATTCCAAATACACTGCGAAAGTATTCTTCATGCATCCACGTTTCGCATCTTGAGCTTCATAAATCAATTTTTTGAATATTAGCAACTTCGCAAATTATTCTTGTATGGGAATTTCTCTGTGTAAATTTAATATAATTAGAAATTGTCTTAAAAAGAGTATTATGATAATGAAATATTAAAGTACTTCGAAGTCGCCACAGGGAAAATCAGGATATGGATTTGCTCATTGTACAAGATACTCTCTCGGACGAACTGCAATGTCTGGAGCTATTTTTTCACCAATTCCGATTGGATTGTAATGGTCTATTAAAAAGTTTTGTATTTTTATTACAAGCCCCAGAAAATGAAAATCTCTTACAAGGTTGCCCAGAAACTATTATCGGTCCAAGCTTTAATCTATTATTTGGTTCTTTAAAACAATCTTGAAGATATGATATAACATCTTCATGTGGTGTATATGCAATTTCAATAATATAGACATTTTTTTTATCAAAGTGAAATTTATATCCTGATGATTTGTTACGATCAAGAAAATCGTTATACTCTTTAACCGAAATTTTTTTTCCAATCTGGAAGGGCAAGCTGGATACAATAGAAGTTAACAATAAATAACTTAAATAAACATGAATAAGTCACGCTTACCTTTCATCTGCTAAATGAAAATCTGGTAGTTTAGGATGTCTATGGGGCAAGTTATCCCGAATTTTGTTTAATTTGTTACTTATCCAATAAGCCATATTTACAAAATATAAAAAATGAAGACATGTAAATTAATTAACGATTCAATTTTTATGTCTGATATGATAATCACACATGATTACCTGTGAAACGTTGCTCCGTTATCATCACCAGTGGGAATTACTAGAACTATATGCACTTATAGCACTTATAGAGGTTTTACTGTAATAGATTTTGCAAAGAATATTTAGTACTAACAATAAAAATCACCAAAATAATAAGTTCTGTAACAATACTTGCAATGGAAATTATAAAATTCAAATGTAAACTAACTTAACAACTTATTGTGGTTATCAAAATAGTAAGTTCTGTAACAGAATTCTTTAGTCACTCTTAGTAGAAATCATATTTATTTCATTGCAAACTAACTCACATTAAATATATTGTAGTCACAGAATAATATATACTTTAACAGAATAATTTATAGTAATCATGATAGAAATCACAACAATCACAAGCTAAATCAATGAATATCAGGTGTATATTAGAAAACAAGTTTTCTGATATGCACCCAATAGTTTGTTATAGATTCACCAAATATCAGCATATTGGTAATTTCTATACAAATTGTTTTATTTTAACCAAATATTGTGGTCATTGGAATAGCAAGTAAGTATTTTGTTTCAAAAATTTTTTTTTAAACTATGCAATATATTTAACCATGTTCAGTAAGTATGAAAATCATCATCATTAGTTTCTATTGCTCAAATAGTTATTATTATATATTAAAATTTTTACAAGTAAAAAGTGCATTTTTTAAATCTGGTTTATATTATTTTTATGTTCAGAGAATTAATACTACAAGAAAAGTTATATTTCAAAAATCTTTCGTATACTAAATTTTTAATAAAAAGTGATATTTATCTATGTAACAATATGACTATATCTAATTGTTTTTACTATGAGTTTATATCGATATTTGTTACAATTAGTTAATTAATTACCCAGGGTTCGAGTTGTTTTATTAGTAAAATTTTACAAGGAACATTTTTAATTAGGCTGCAGAAGGTGGTTTCTTAATTAAAATTTAAAGCTATTTTTGTTTTTTTTTGATTCACTTTGATTTTTACATTACACCTGATCTTGAAATTTGAACAATTTTTTGTAAGATATTTAGGTGTCTTTATTGAAAATTATATAAGATTATTATTTTTTTTATTTTTTTATTATTTTTTTTTTTAATATTAAGGTGATCACTTAGATCCCTTGGCACTTAGCTTTATTCAGGTAATTACAATATTACATCAATTTCACGAGGATATAACTAGCCACACATGTACATTTAGTACCTAATTTAAGTAGTCTGCCTGGGTTCTACACTAGCCACTATACCTGCAACCTAACTAGGAGATTACCTATTTA